ATGGTGCGTCAGGCAGTGAAGGGTTACCGCAAAGGGAAGTTATCACCTGACACTAGGAGGCCGGTGTCTTTTAGGTTGCTTCAACAACTATTGGGTACCCTACCGGGTTTATGTTTCTCTTTGTTCGAGGTCTTGCTATTTAAGGTGGCGTTTGTGTGGGCGTTTTTCGGGGCTTTTCGGGTGAGTGAGATTGTAAGTAGCAACAGGCTTAGACAAGGTGGTCTCCAGTTCGCGGACGTGGACGTAGGGGTGGAACAGGTAGCTATTCGACTACGGCGCTCGAAGACGGATGTCTTTGGGAGAGGTCGTATGATAAAACTATTTTCAATACCTCAGGTGGAGGCTTGCCCGGTGGGCAGTGCTCGGCGATATGGGGAGCTCCGTCCGAAGGGGCAGGGTTCGTTTTTTCGCCATGCGGACGGCTCGGCGTTGTCGAAATTCCAGTTCAACAGGGTCTTTAAGTTGGGCTTGGAACGCCTGGGCCTGGATCCCACGCAATTTGGCACCCACTCCTTCAGGATCGGGGCTGCCACAGAGGCGGTGAGGTTAGGCCTAGGGGATGAGTTAGTTAAAAAGATTGGGAGATGGGAATCGATCAGGTTCCGTTCCTATGTCCGGCCTGATCTTTTAATGTAAACAAATTTATGTTATGGGGTACAATTACGGTGGTCCTGTGGTTATGAATTATTTCTTTTATTTCAGGTGGAGTTGCATGGATAGTAGGCCATTCATATGTCTACTGGGCAGAACGGAGAACTGCAGTTCGGAGAGAAGGCACGCAGCTCGGCTTTCCTTCTTATGTGTTACGGTTGTTCTGGTTTGGTTTTCGGGGTTTCGGTTGGAGAGATACGTGTTTGGAGATATTTCGGAAGATAGGGCAAGGGGAAGTCCCCGATTTCATATTGTTCCACACAGGGGGGAATGATTTTGGTCTGGTGCCGCAAAGGGAATTAGTTCGTGGGATAAAGAGGGACGTGGATAAGTTGAGGTCCTTGCTTCCCGGGGTGGTTATTGTTTGGTCGGAAACGGTACCGCGTTTCCGGTGGCGTCATGCGCGGGATTTCGCAGCTATGGCGAGATATAGACGCAAGTTCAACAAGTTGTTGGCAACTTTTATTAAAAGGTCTGGGGGGTAGTAGTGAGGCACAGGGAACTAGAGGATATGTTACCAGGATACTTCAGGCATGATGGAGTTCATTTATCGGAGGTGGGTTTGGATTTCCTTAACTTAGGCTTTCAGGACGGTCTTAGACAGGCCCTGTTTATTCGGGGTGGGGGCGCACAGGAGGCTTGAGGTGGTCAAGCTCTGTGCTGTGGCGGGGGATGGATTAGGTTAATTGGGGGTAGGTCGGTTTTTGGTAAGTGGGATAGGTCAGGAGGAATACTTACCTTTAGATTTGGTGGTAGGTTCGAGCTCGGCGGTAGCTACGAACCTGGGGGTGTAGGGGTGTCTCGGTATGCCCCTACACTGGAAATGGATGCCCTTGGTGGCTGGGATAATGGTGTAGGGGTGTCTTGGTATGCCCCTACAGTGGAAAGGGATGACCTTGGTGGCTATGATAATGGCGTAGGGGTGTCTTGGTATGCCCCTACAATTGGAAATGGAGGCCCTGGGTGGCTATGTTAAGGTTTATGGTATTTATGCTATGTTATACTGTTAGTTGGATGTATTCTGTAAATATGTTGGAGGTCATTGTCTGGGTATTTAGTTATGTTAATTGGGGGGGGATGTCTTTTCAAGCGTTGTTGACAATGACCTTTTAAATTTATATTTTATTATTTATATATATTTAATAAAGCCGTGGAATATTTTGCCAATTCATTCATGTGTCTGTGATTATTAAAGGTTATAATTGGTTTATAACAGGAATAGGCCAAAAAGACGACTATGCGCATGTCATGTGTATATGTGTTTGTGTGTGTGTATATATATATATATATATATATATATATATATATATTTGGAAGTATTGTGTATGTGTGTGGTGCAGTGTGTTGGGGGGTTATGTGTGTATGTGAGGGGTGCAGTATGTGTGTGAGAGAGTGCTGTGTGTGCTGGGTGTGAGAGAGTGCCGTGTGTGCTGGGTGTGAGAGAGTGCTGGGTGTGAGAGAGTGCTGGGTGTGCTGGGTGTGAGAGAGTGCTGGGTGTGAGAGAGTGCTGGGTGTGCTGGGTGTGAGAGAGTGATGGGTGTGATGGGTGTGAGAGAGTGATGGGTGTGATGGGTGTGAGAGAGTGCTGTGTGTGCTGGGTGTGAGAGAGTGCTGTATAAATGTTAGAATGGATTGTGTGTATGTAGGGGGGGTAAATAAACCATGGCAACACGCCGGATCTCGCGAGAGGAACCCGGCGGAGCTGTAAATTAGAGCTCCGCCAGGTCCTCTCTCCTGGCTGTCTGTCTCCCCGCCGGCCGCCGCAGTATACAGCATGTGGACCGGTGTGGGAGATCTTTGATCTCCCCACCGGCCCTTCATGAAAAACAGCGGGGCCGGCGCTCGGATAGTGCCGGCCCTGCATAGACCGGCAGGGGAGATCCTGGGAACTACCCTACCGGTCTCGGCCCATGGACACCGCGGCCCACCTGGCCGCTGCCCCGTGTGCCCGATGGCCAGTCCGGGCCTGTCCACAACAAACAGGAAGCTTGGTAAACATCTATCCGTGGAGGAGTCAAGACTTCTGTGGCCGGCTGAACGCAGCACACAGTGTTCCAGTGGATGCAAAAGACATTTGTGAGTAGCAGGTTCTCACTGCATATACTCTCTATCTTTTTCCTGTAAGAGGCTTGTGTTTATAATAGTATATTGGATAGTGTGAAGAAAATGGACTTTTACCTGTCATTTTCTCCTTTTTATTCGGTACTTTTATGTGTTATTACTTGTATAGTGAATGGATTGGTTCGGTAGTTTGAAACAGGAGCTGCGTGTGTGGTCGGTAAAAGGGACCCTCCACGCTTTTTCAGAACCCCTGAACCGATCTGGGTGAAATTTGGATATGTTTGTCCCCCAGATCGGGGCTATCAGGGGATATGTAATTTGTGGGGATACCTTGTGGGGAAAGGGGTGTTCTAAGTTTTGGGGAAATTGTGTGCTCTCTGGAGATAATTGGTTTATTCCTTAACTTATCTCAATATCTCCCAGGCAGAGAGGAGGCGTGTATTACTGTAAAACTGTGTGTTGATTGGTTATTGTCTTTGTTTGCTGTGGGAGGTCCTCTTGCAGGAGGATTTCTCATAAAAGCCTGTGTGTTGTTGTGATTCCTGTTACACCCTTCATGAAGTCTAGGCTCATGTTTGGGGGATATTCTACTTGCTGGAGAGAATCACCTTGGAACTGCATTTCATCTATCTTATTCCTCTACTCCCTGCTGCAGCTATAATCACTCAAGCTCAGCTGTTGGGAGAGGGAACCAAAGACCGCAGCACCATAACCACTGCAGGTCTTAACAGATAGTATTTATTTTTTATATGCAAATGTAATAAATGTATTTTTATTTTTTACTCCTATAATCGGTAGAATTACAATTTTCTATCATTACTTCACTATTGTATCTCTTTTGTTTATTTTCATTTTTATGTGACTCTGAGACAGTATATAAGAGTGATCTCAAGACAAACCAAGGTCATTCATCATAGGCGCTCCACCAATTTAAGTATAATCTGTATGTGTCAGTGTTTGCATCTGTATCTGTATATCTCCCGCACACGTTCAAATCTTCCCCAAGCCTAAAGTCCTTTAAGAGATCCCTCTCTACATACCTCAAAACAGAATGCATGTGTTATGGATGATTATATATTTACTAGCTGTTCTATGTTAAATTTTGTATATATTGTGTATTAATATTGTTTTTTGTATTTTATTGTACCCTATTGTATCAATGCAATGTTTTCTGCACCCAGGACATACTTGAAAACGAGAGAAATCTCAATGTATCTTTCCTGGTAAAATATTTTATAAATAAATAAATATCTGCATGTATGGAAGTGTGTATGTGTGTACCTGTACATCTGTATGTGTCAGTGTGTGTAGTCTGTGTCTTTGTGTGATTTTGTGTATATGTATCTGCGTGTGTGTTCTGTGTATCTGTGTCTCTGTATATATGTGAGTATGTCATTGCTTGGATCTGTGTTTCTGTACATCCATATGTGTGTCACTGTTTGTATCTGTTTCTGCGTGTGTTTTTCAGTATTTGTATCTGCATGTGTGTCAGTATGTCTGATCAACTGAATGTGTATCTATGCACCTGTATATGTTTCAGTGTTTGCATCTGTGTGTCTGTGTATCTTTATGTGTCATTGTGTGTGTTTGTATCTGCATATGCGTAACTGTGTCTGTATCTGTACGTCTATGTATCATCATGCATTTCAGTGTGTGTATCTGTACATCTGTATGTGTGTCTGTTTGTATCTGTATCTGTTTCAATGTTTGTATCTGTGTGTGTATCAGGGTGTATGTGTGTCTGTACATCTGTATTTTTCAGTATGTGTATCCGTGTGTCTGTATCTTTGTTGGTGTTTGTATCTGTATCTGCATGTGTGTCAGTATTTGCATCAGGGTGCCTGTGCAACTGTATGTGTGTCTGTGCACCTGCATGTGTCTCAGTGTTTGTATCAGTGTGTCATTATGTGTCTTTAGCTGTAAGTGTGTTTCTGTGTGAGTGTGTCATTGTTTAGATATGTGTGTCTGTGCATCTGCATGTGTTTCAGTGTTTGTAATTGTGTGTCTGTGTACCTACATGTATGCCTGTATCTGCATTTGTGGCAGAAGTCAAGGTATATTCGCAGGCAGAGGTAGATGCTTTATTGGCTAGGTTTTCCAACAGTACTAATTTTTCTCAGAGCAATAGTACTGTTTTATACAAAAGATTTGAATACCTTCAGAGGAAGGAAATTAACTATCAATTGCATGTTGAGACTCTAGTAGAATATTTGAGAGTTAAACGGATCCCAAGGGGCATGAGATTGGGCATTAGACCCTCCTTTTGACAACATAAATCAAAATTTGAGGAAAACTGGCAAAAGATCTTGAATAAATGCAGCTTGGATCTAATTGCACTTACCATTGAGGGGATAGAAGAAGATCTGACTGAATTGAAGCAAGAAATTAGTACTACCAAAAATAGGATATTGAGTACTGAGAATCCCAAATCCTTCATTAAACATTCTGAGGAAATTGATAGTATCTTGTCTAAACACAAGACAGATACCCTCAATAGGAAATTATCCAAATTTAAACATGATACGATAGATTATCTTGATAATAAAGTTTATAACTGGCAATTTCATCGTCAGCGACCTAACGTACCCCAGGGCGTACACTTGTTTGGTAGGAATTCTCCTGCCAATAGTGATAGTGAGCAATCCTCAGTTGGATCAGCCAACAATATCAATTTTTTAAAACCGCGACGCCCCGGAGGAGGAGGCACAAGACAAGGAGAGGCAAGAGACGCCGCAGCAAACCATCCCCCTCGGAGATATCCGGAGAGAGAGAGGAGACCATGGAGACGTTAGTGGTGAACATCTCCAAGATGGTGTTATCAGTAAGTGAGATCTTGGTGCTTAACAAGGGTCTGGGTTTTGTCCCGTTTGTCCCGTCATTTGAGGGTGACAAATTGAACTTGGATATCAAATTGTATGAATTTTTCCGTTCCTTACGTTTAAAAGTTGTTGCTTTTTTTTTTGCAGGAGACAACTCACCCATGGATGCTCAAAAGGAAGAAGTTGATATTGAGGTCAACTCTGTGGACTTATCTAAATGTAAAAATAAAAGTAAGTTTACTCCACCAGCTACCAATTCCACAGTTGAAACCTTTATCAAGTTATGCCAATTGGAGATTTCTAAAATCAACTGGTCCAGGAGGGGTTCCTCCAATTTGACACCAGATGAGTGGAGGGCCGTCGATGCCCTGAGGAGCGATGACTCCATTATTGTCTGGGCTGCGGACAAGGGTGGGGCCATTGTCGTTATGGACATTGATAAATACAATGCTGAAGCCATGGCACAGTTGTCCAACCGGGTTCATTATGAGAAACTATTAAGGGACCCAACGAAGGAGTTCCAAGAAAAGATTGGGGTTATTACCCTTGAGGCTTTAAGTTAGGGTCTAATCAAAAACAAAATATTTGATTTTCTTAATACATCTACACCTCGGGTACCTTTTCTGTACCTGCTTCCTAAAATCCATAAGGACCTGTTGAAACCTCCTGGCAGGCCCATTGTGTCGGGTTGTGGTTTACTGCTCCAGACGTTGGCCCAATATGTTGACGCTTATCTTCTAGTGCTGGTGGTACAGATGAGGTCATTTATACGGAACAACAGTGATTTTTTGGATAAATTGGATGATTTGGGATCATCCTGTAGAGATACACTTCTGTGTACGATGGATGTATGCAGTCTATATACATCCATCCCTTATGGGTGAGGTATGGAGGCTGCAGCACAGGCCTTGGGCAGACTTGAGTTGGATTCTAAATTGAGTGAATTTGTTTTACAATTATTGGTTTTGTCATGCAATTATTTCACCTTTGGAAATGACTTTTTTCTACAGATACAGGGAACGGCGATGGGGGCCAATATGGCTCCATCGTATGCCAATCTATATATGGCCAAGTTTGAGGAAGATTTCGTCTACCCACATCCTTTATTCAGATTTGTAGCTTTTTGGTTTCGTTACATTGATGTGTTCTTTCTCTGGAATTGCTCAGTGGCACATCTCCTATCATTCAAAACGGACTTGGATCAATATGTACCAAGTATTAAATTTACCTTGGAACATGATGCCAATAGTATACATTTTTTGGATGTTCAGGTAAGTAAAGTGGATGATAGTCTGTTTTGATCTTTTTCGAAAACCAACTGATAAAGTTGCAGGCAAACTCATTCCATCCGGCCAACATGATCCAAAGTCTTCCTTTTAGCCAATTACTACGTGTTCGACGGATTGTATCTCAGGAAGCAGACTTTGATACTCAGACAAGGAAGATGTTAGAAGATTTTCGCTCCCGTGGTTATTATGAAACCTCCTTGCAGGAAGCACTGGGTAAAGTGAAAGATCTGGAGAGGACTTTATTACTGAAGACCGAGGGTAAGAACAAGAGAAATATGCCCAATCGTATTCCATGTGTCACTACATATTCTACCAAGTCGGGTTTTGTTAAACATGTCATTAATAAGAATTGGCATGTCTTACAGAGTGATCCTGAGATTGATGATCTTTTTAAAGAGAGACCATTAATGGCCTATAAGAGATCTAGGAATATCAAAAGCTTGGTATCACCTTCTAAATCTAGAACATCCTCCAAACCATCTACTACTTGGTTGACACCCATTAAGGGTATGCACCGATGTGGACATTGTGCCAATTGCAATAATGTGACCACGGGTGTTGAGTTTACACACCCTAGAACAGGAAAAGGATTTGCTATCAAGGACTTCTTTAATTGTCAAATGGATCGTGTAATTTATTTTATCAAATGTCCCTGTGGTCTTGGCTACGTTGGCCAAGCATCTAGACCTTTAACCGTATGCATTGGCGAACATAAAAGTACCATTTGCACCAAGAAACTACATATTTCTTTTGCCAAACATTTTATTGATTCAGGCAACTCTGTGGCACAATTACGTTTTCAGGCTATTGAACGTATTAAGACACCTTATTCTGGCTGTTTCCTTGCAGATTCACTTAAGCATGCTGAATTACGGTGGATCTATCGATTGGATACATTATTCCCTCACGGGTTAAATGAAGAGTGTGATTTCAATTCCTTCAGGTAAACTGGTTACATGCTATTGGTAAATTTGCCACATAATACGATAATGTTTATTGTTCGCTATTTTTTATAAGGACCACATTCAGGTGGTTCCCTTTATTTTTATTACCTCTGCCTGTGATTTGTTGGATATTTTGATAATTGATATTGATTTTATTCTTCTGTTTTTAGTCTTGGTATTCCTTTTGGGTTTCTTACTTCTGGGTGGCCCTCTGATGATTGGTCTCCTTCCAAGAAGATCCATCGGATCTTGGCTTCGTTTTTGGACCCTCATGATGGAAGAAGAATGTTGATAGAATTGTTATGTATATTTTAGAATTTTGTGTAAAAAAAAAAAAAAAAATCTTTTTTTTCCTTTGTATGAGCGGGTTGTATAACTATGCTCAGATTTCTTGAATGCATATATATATTATATATTCTGTTGCATTAAGATGATGGTATTATATGCCTGGAATATTTCTGTATGGCTTGAGATGCATTGACTGCATAAGCATGCATCCTAGACACTATCCCTTAGAGAATGTATCTTATATATACTTGTACTGTATATTGTTTTTTTACTTATGGATTGATTCAGAGTGCCTGATTATATGGATGGTGCTCATACCTGGACTGTTTATCTTTGATCTGTTTTCTTATGTCTGCATAGGTATTCTCTTTATTTTTTACTTATGTTTTTCATTTATTTTTTAAATTTTTGGCTAATTTTTGTTTCTATTTTCACACATCTTTAATATTGTGTTAGTATGTGGTTTGTTTCAGATTCTTCTTTATAACAGGGGCTGGTATCATACACTCTGGTTATGTTCCTGTTTTCCTCTGGAGCTATATGTGTCTCTCTGATCCCTTTTATTTTTGGGCTATGCAGTATATTATCTGGTTAGTGTTTCTGACATCAGTGGTTGGCGCATGCACCAATCACTGATTATCCTACAAATTTCTGCATTTTGGAATGCACGTGCGTTCCACCTTATGCTGCTTGCTTCCGGGGTTTAGCGTCGGGAGGTGCATTGGTGGTTGGCGCATGTTGAGCGTTCATAGCTCTTTGTGTTGGAACGCATTTGCATTCCACTTCGCCCAGTCTATTTCCGGGTTCAGGGATTTGCAGCGCTCTATGCAGCGTGCGCCTCCATCATATCTTGAATTTATTTATCACCAAGCTTAGATTCTCGATCGGGTCCCTGTATTTGTGGTATTTATATACTTAACTGCACTCTATTTATTTCAATTTTTTCCAACTTACTATACAGTTTGGGATACTATACAGTTTGGGACACTGTTGATATATACATACTAATACTGTTTTAAAATTAAATAATTAAATTCCTGTCGGTATCATTCCAATATGTTTCTTTTTGTTTGTCTATAATATGGGTAATGCATGTTTCAAATTGGATCATGTTGATTATATTTGCTATATCAGTCTGTATACTGGAACCTGCATGTTATGTGTATGTTTACATGTCTATGTCTTTGGTTTCCTTGGTAACCATAAACAGGTGTTTATGGTTGGGAGGATCCCAATCATCATGGGTGGCCACCCATTTACTTCAGGTGTTTCTAATGTTTGTATTTCTTTTTGGGTATATAAGAACAGGTTTTAGTCTCTCTCAACAAGCTCCCTTGATAAAGGCATTTTTTCCGAAACGTTGGGGGTGTTTTGGTGATTGACTCTGTCCCTGCTTCTCACTGGTTCTGGTATGCTTTAATTATTTTTTTTTTCTATATGTATTTATATTTGTGGGGTTAGAGTGGATTGGTATCTCCTCCAAATACCTATGTTATAGATTTTGCTGTTCATATATTACGCATTTGGCGTTTGCATATACATCCAGAATTGCTCTAGCTGTTGCTTATAATATGATATGATTCTACATTCTGGTTTTTCATGTAATGAGATACTCTATTAGTGTGTTCCCACTTAATAAAGATACTTTTTTTTGTATATAAACATTTATGGTTGTGCTCCTTATTCAATTAGTTTTTGCATGTATTTGGGCTTTTGGGAATAGAGCCTTATATAAGTGAGCACCCTATATCTCATTTCTTTAGAGAGCTCAGTTTGGGGCCTGTCTGTATTTAATATTTGAGTGTGCCTACCTTGTTTTATTTTTTTACTGTATCTGCAAGTGTGTCAGTGTTTGCACCAGCGTGTCTGTGTATCTGCATGTCTGTCATTGTTTGTATCTGTGTGTCTGTGCATTGTGTGGCAGTGTTTGTATCTGTGTGTCTTTACATCTGTATGTGTGGCAGTTGATGCGTGTGTATCTGCATCTGGATGGGTCAGTATGTGTGTGTGTCTCCTGTATCTGTGCGTGAGTCTGTATTTGTAACTCTGTCTGTATCTGTATGTGTAAATGTTTGTATCTATGTGTCTATGTATTTGCATGTGTGTCAGTGTGTGTATCTGTATTTCTGTATTTGTGTGAGTGTGTCATTGCTTGGATTTGTGTGTCTGTACATCTGTATGTATTTGTCAGTGTGTATCTGTGTCTATGCAACTGTATGTCTCAGTGTTTGTATTTGTGTCTTTGTTTGATTTTGTGTATGTATGCTAGTTTTTGTGCCAGTGTTTGTATCTGTGTGTATGTATCTGCATGTGTGTATCTGTATCTCTGTATCTGTGTGAGTGTAATTGCTTGGATCTGGGTGTCTGTACATCTGTATGTGTGTCTGTGCAACTGTATGTGTGTTAGTGTTTGTATCTGTGTGTCTGTACATCTGTAACAGTGTTTGTTTTTGTGTGACTGTCTGTATCTGTGTCTTTGTGTGTCTATATCTGTATCAGTGTTTGTATCTGAGTATCTGCACATATATCAGTTTGTGTATCTGTCTATTTGCATTTGTGTAAGTGTGTGTTTATCTGCACAGTGAAAAGTGGGGCAAGCCTGGGGCAGAAAAGGAGCAGAGAGAGCCTAGGACAGAGGGAGCCGGGTGCAGAGAAAAGCATATTAATATAAATAACAGCAAACATTTTGCTAATATGAGGGTACACTTTAGGGAAACGGGCTGCCAAGGTGTACTCAAGTGAAAAAAGGTTGGGAACCACTGGTCTAGAGTGTGTCCATACAGTGTTAGAATTGTAAACACTACCTTTTCTGAGAAAGGGCAGTGTTTACATTGCTGTCTAGTAACACCTCTAGTTGCAGTCACTCAAATGGCCACTAGAGGTGCTTCCTTGTCCAGTGCTAAGCTACACATTGCACAGAGCTGACTTTCAATTTATCTCCAACATATATGTTTTCTAGCTAAATTAAGGATCTAAAACTCTGGCCCCCATTTGTTGAGAGGGGGGTGGGGCCGACGTCAGAGGTCAGAGTTTGAAATCCATGACCTAGAGGGTTTAAATCTACTATTTGCAATTATTTTGTTAATTCTCAACAATTTCAGGTTTTATTGAATGAAACCCATTATGTTTATGGAAATAATAATATCCCTGCCCTGTAAAACATTTTTTAAATATGATTTAAAAAAACAAAAAAAACCCTCTGAATAGTACTAAATCTTTGGCACCAGATAATGTTTGACATATTTTTTAATGCCAGTAGGTGTCAGTGTTTTCCAACATGTGTACTCAAGTTAACCAGTGCATTTTATTTCACAGTTCCTACTCCTCTATGATAGGTTCTTGTTCCAAACATGATGCTAGTCACACCAAGCTGTTTCAGATTGACTTTTAAAGCACACCAATGTTTCCACTATTATCACATCATTCCAATTATCTTTGCTAAAGATAGATGAGACAGTTTACTAGTCTAAATGTAATGTTACACCATTGAAGAAAACATTGAAAATCACTTATTATTATTATTGCCATTTATATGGCACCACAGCGCTTTACTGTATCATAAAGGGGTAAATTTAACCCCTTAAAGACACATGACGGACATATTCCGTCATGATTCCCTTTTATTCCAGAAGTCTTGTCCTTAAGGGGTTAACACTAAATAAGACAATGTCAAAATGTTACAAGAACAATTGATTGATTGATTGACGACCATGCTTAAACAAGCTTACAATCTAGAGGAGGTCGGGTATAAAACCATAACAAGAAGATTGAAGTGGATAGCAACTAAGCAAGAAAGAAGAAATTAGAAGAACCGGACAGTAGTTTTGCTACTTGTATTAACCTTTTGCAGAAGATGGTCCATTTTCTTTTAAATGTATGTGAATGTTTTAGGAAATAACAGCATAATCCTGTTCAGAAAAGGCACAGTCAAAGTGAAAATTGTAAATGAGAATGGATATAAAAGCATTGCTTCATTTCTCCTCTTTTCCATATGCTTTCAATATGCTAACTACCTGGTGCAAAGGAAAGAACCTATAACACAACGAGAGCTAATATGGAGGTGTCCAGTTGCAGGATAAGGAAGTGTGGATTTCTAAATTTCATTTTTCACTTCTCACAAATACATATTTCTTAAAGTAAAGGGACACTCCAAACAAAAAAAAAACTTCTGCTTGTTTAATCAAGAATGGTGGTGGTCATGGGTTTTAAGTGGAGGTCTGCCACCTAATATTAAACTCACCTTCAGGTGTCTTCCCTTGCCAAGTTATTTTTCTGGCTGTTAGTTTCCAAATGCTGTCTGGAGGTAAATGGGTAATGCTCCCCAATCAGTATGTGCACTCAACACTTTAATTTATAATACATGTGGACGGCAACATGACTACCATCAAACATGCATAGGATGTAATCTATATATTGATTTAAAAAATGCACACACAACATAATCATTAGTCTCTCCACCAAATGGTTACTGCAGTGGATGCAACAGCAGCATGTTTATATGTTTGGGAAATGGCTAGCAGAATGAATAGATAAAAGTGAATTAACATTTTTTTTAGTGTATGTTAAGCATCAAAACGCTGTGTGACACTGTGCTTGCTGCTTATACTGCTTGTAGCAAATGCTATCTGTTCGGTAGTATAATGAGCATTATTTCTGAAGCATGCATTTTTCAAAGCTGTGTTGAGTTTATTGCATGCAGAGTACATTGTTAATGGATACATTTTATTTGTTCATTTTTGTAAATTTGTTTATTAAAAAAGTTTTTGAAGAGCATAGGAAAAACATATTGAGATTAGCAAGTTCAATAAAGGTGGCAAGGTGGAACACATGATGAGATGTGAGACTCGCAGGTCTCAAAATTTGCAAAGTAAAGGAAGCAAAAACTCTGTCTCTCTGTTAGAAAAGAGTAGAGAGATGGGGGAAATGGTGTCTGCATCATCCATCCTACTCTACTAAGCAGCCCAGACGATCCAAAAAACAGAAAGGAGAGCGAAGGTCTAGCTAGAAGTGCCTGAAAGTCAACAGTGTGTGTGGTGGTTATCCACTGTGCCAACATTTCTGTAAACATCTGAATACATGCAGAGGTGCTGAAAATAAGCTCCTCTGTTGCTCTCCATCCTGGAAAACCATAGCCTTAAAGATGGTGTGTGAAGTTTGCACCACTGTAGGGGAAATAGGTGTTCAGCAGAGTTTGATTGGTATTTAATTGGTGTTTAATTGGTCATTGTTTGCCACTGAGGTATAGTGGAAGAGGAACAATGGGGGGGAGGGGGGGAACTGTTTCATTACTTCGTGTATCTTTTTCCAAAACAAATTTTTCCATGGAAATTCTCCCCCCGCGGAGAAAAGTGCCCTGATTTATCATGTCATCTCCAACATCCATCATCCTGAGAGGGCTTAAACCTGTGTATGGCCTGCCGGGCTTTGTACCACAGAGACAGGAGTTTTATTGACATTTTCCTGCATTCTTCTCTTTAACAAACAGTGGTGCGCTAAGTTACAAATCTTATCTCACTGGGGATCTGAGAATGTGGTGTTCAAAGCCAGTTCTCCCAGCAGCCAAATAATGTTGGGAAAAGAGAATTATGTTGGTGCTGAAAAGTGTCATATAGGAAAGAGATCCCATTGTCCAGAGTGTCTGCCTCAAAGTTTATCAAGTCCCGCACAGGGCTGATAAGCAGTGATCTGACTATACCAAAATTGTTGTATAAATGTAGGGGTGGATCCAGGGCCAGCCCAAGACTTGTGCTGCCTTGGTCCATGGACGAAATGCTCCTCCTTAGCAAAAGCATGCCCACATCCATTATGTTATGAGGGTACAAATTATAAACAGGAATTCTATCTTGAATTAGACTGCAAGCTCTTAAGGCTGGTCATTCATATATAGACCAGGATATAACTGCCATTCGCATACCTGTGTTATGAAGAACAATCTGAATCAGACAGTTCTTCAATCATATCACGGAAATGCTAATTTGACTTAGATTGCATGCTCTTGGTGTCATTACTGTATTTCTCTCTTTTTTTTTTTTTCCAAGGCAAGGCACCACATGAAATAATACATTACAACAGGGTTATAAATAGAATTTTGACGACATATCCAAGTTCGCACGAGGTGAATAAGTGTGCCTTTTTATAGAAACAAACTTCAACATAGTGCAGTAGACTGTTGTGTGTCAACTGCTGTGGTCTGTATATCAGTGGTGCCCCGCCAGGTTTTTTGATAAAGGGTAAAACAGGGAGAATCTGACCAACCATTGTGAGCAGGACCCTAACATCCAGTGCCTAGGTTTGTCGACCTATATAGTGCTCTGGTGGGATCGTAGCAATCGAGATAACTAGCTCAGCTTTTAGTGTCACCAGTGTAGCGTTACCAGTTTAATGTTAATACCTCCCGTGACTCATCATATGCCCTCGCATTTGTTATGGTCGAAATGTAAGTGTCGGTCAGAATAGAGAAGACTGTAGTGTTAGGAGTGATAGAAGTAGACAAAACCTTAAAGAGGATAGAGAGGGAGGAGAAGGGTTAAGGGGGAGAGGGAAGCACAGGAGGGAGTGGTACAGGGAGTTACTGGCCATGGCGATCGTAGGTCTACGCGACCTAATTACAAAGTGACTCCAAAATTTTTAGCAACATCGCAACGTTTGTGAATTGGGCTAGA